CCATTATTTTTGCAAGGAGCTTTTAATTTGGCAGGTGTTTTTAAAAAGCTCAACAAAACAACGCTTTCTCGTAAATGAAAAAGAAAAAAAGAGACAGCTGACGGTATTCACTGGAGACCAGGGAAGGAAGGGGAGGGAGAATACTGTATCTGACCATCATCGCCATTTCCTTTGCAATTAGGACTCCTCTAAGGAAAGGGCGCTTTATTGTAGGATTGGAAATGTATGCAACTGAAGAACACCACGAACCTTTTCTTCCCAAGCGATTGCCAGTCTCACCCGTCCTAGGTTTTAGGAAGACATCATTCTAAGGCGGTTCTCCAGGCGTCAGACCAGGCTTCCGCCTCTGAGGTTCTTCGTTGCAACTGGCGGAGGCAGGTGGGCTGCCAAAAGGCTTCCCCTCTGCAACAAAGCCTCGCCCGGTTTCAGTTCCGCTTTCCCAAAGGGCAACACTAAATCAAATAGTGTGCATTTCTTGATTCAGTGGAGGGAACCCAAATGTATGGAGCGAGGCATTATTCGTTTCTGGCCCCTCTTTCCACACGTTTGAAAAGTGCTAGATTCAGGCAAAAATATAAACGCACTTGCTTGAATTTCGCACCGGTTGTAAATTACAATTAGCCACGCGCTCTTCTATTGAGGAAAAACTCCCATCAATTCTGCAGGACTGGAGTCCGAAATAACAAGCATACAGTAGGGTATGCACACGTTCAGCGTCTGCTAGAATGTTCCGCTCTCTTTATGCCATTAACTCCCTTAATTTTTTGCACAAGCGTCCCTTTTTATCTTGGCCATCTCAAATCAATATGTGAAAGAATTATGACCAGCAGATAGTACATTCTATTAGTCTTTAAGATCCCTGAAAAACTATAATAACTTATTCTATTATTCGTATGCTGGGCGAAGGGGCTGATGAAGAAAATGATTCGATATTCATGACTGCTTGTAAATAAGTATTTTTTGCAAGGATGAAAATAAAAGGCACCTCCCCTTCTCTCTCTAAATTGCCTGACCATTCAAAAGCTACAACAATGTCTTGTTAGGGGCCCTCGCCGACACTCATGGACAAGAACAGTTCTAATGGTTCTCATTAACAGTCAACCTATAGATACGCTCATCAAGCCTCAATTTCACGAATTTACAATCAAATGGTATCCAAGCCTTATATGCCCCAATACTTCTGGAGACTGCCAGCTAAAGAATTTTCTTTAATGATGGACTGTGTGTTTAATTTTTAGTATACAAAACTCATTGTAAACAAATGTATCGACCCCTCCCCCCGTTACTTACATAAAAATAGCTACTATTCTCTATCGCGCTACTGTACTACACATAATCATATTCTCTCCCACTTCCTATTAACTGCTTCAGAGCGACGATATATATGTGTGTGTATGTACGTACGTATGTATATGTATATTTTATGCTGGACGAACACCCCGCCCATAGTAAAGTAAATGCGGGGAAGGGCATTAGTTAGGGACTGAAAAGCAGTGAGTAAAGAGTTAATGCACACAGCGCAGTCAAAGGGCTCCTCTGTTGCTTTCCTTCCTTTCTTTTGGTAATAAATGTACCCTTCAGATTGCGCACGTGTCTGTCACATAACACATACTCTGAATTCCGGCGCTCTTGCACAGAAGCCTTAGACTCATAACTTAAGAGTATCGCCTTTCAAATGAAAACGCACGTAATCCATCGGCAAGCCTATACGTGCTTCAATTTAGAAAGTGGTAGTAGAGGAAACGCCCCGCCTTTCAGCATACTAGCGGGCAAAACCGATTCAGTACGTAGAGAAACCGCTTGAAGTCATCTACACGTAAAGAGACATGCAGAGTAAAAAGAATTCAGTGAGACGGTAGGGCCAGACCGCATTAGGAAGAATTCCCACGAAAGGCAGGCAGTACTATTGAGTCACTATAATTAGGATAGTAGGGTCAACTATGCCGCTTGAACACATTAAATAAAATTGGTCTTTGCTTCTTATACACTCAAGTCCATATTATTATGTGATCTGGCTCGAATGAAAAGTTAGAATGATTACATTAAAATGACAGCAACTCAAACTTGTTTTATTTAACTTTTTCATTTGGCCTGCGCCCCCCTCCAAAAAATCGACTTCTTCAGCACCTTCTTTATTAATCCTTTTAAAAGTGGTCTTTTTCTCCCCGAGTCCTTGAGCAAAAATGGAAAAAAAAAATCTAAAGCGACCCATCCCCGTTTTTGAAAGCGCATCTCTTCTCTCTTCTTCCTTCCAGCTCCCATCCATAGAGACAAGACTGCTAGTTTTTCCCTTTCCTCGAAAGACGGCTCGAGCCTATTTTGGGTCCTGTGAAAAGACGGGTCCCCGTTTAGATCAAAATTCATACCTCGTCCTATCAGCAGCGCAACTATGACGTTTCTAGGTCCCAAACCAATCAGAAGCGACCGATCTACAAGCCGCTTGTATTTGAATTTGGTGGCTTACTGAACAAAAGAAGGGGGGGAGGCGGCGACGCCTTCGCAAGCTGGCGGTCGATAAAGGGCGCTCGAGGTTTGGGTGAGTAATATATATTTACGAGAAAATGAAATCCGATGAAGCTAAATGAGCCCTAAATGCTATTTTCTCAGTAAATATGACGGATCAGCTAAGGTAGCTGAAACATAAGCTGTTGCTAAAATAGGGAGGGATATATTGGGCTCTCTGCAATCACCGGATGGACCATGTTTTTTAAACTTTCGGAGCAAGATGGCAGGTGCGTGGCAGTAAAATGGGGGAAAAAACTGCCTACTTACTAGGATTATTAACTCTGAAGTCTTATGCATGCTTAACCTGAGAGTTAGGACTGTTCACCTTCTAAATACGCAGGCGTGAAATTGTACCTCTCGAACGTAGTGTGACGTTTGTCTTTAGCGTACACGCATAGGCTACAGAAATAGCAAAATGTTTTGGTATCTTAAGTGAGTAGCAAGGAAGCCTGCTTTATTTTCGAGATTTAAAACGTATAAAAATGCAGGGACTTTGCAGGCTATCGCCTGGAGTCAACTTAAAGACACTCCCTTCATTATGATGCTTTAAAATGTCATGCAGTTTCGCAGTTCCTGCAAATTGCTGCTTTGTTCTGTAAATAAGTTTGACTAACAAAGTAGAATCTGAAAAGTATCGTCAAAAATTATTCCATTGAAGATTTTATTCCTTTGATTGCTAGTGTGAGTGAAACCATAATTGTCTTCTAATACATATAGCCTGACTGTGTAATCTTTTGCAAAGATTAATTTAAAGCCATATCTAGCATTTAAGATGATTTTTAGGACCACAAGAACTACACCATAACTTGTTGAGTGCTACCCACTTCCTTAATACTTCTGGTACTTTACAAAAAAGGCAATAAAACAATTATAAAACTCAAATCAAGGAATGTGAATTAAGGAATAGTCTATTTTCTAAGTGTTTTGTTAACATATTAAAGCTGTGGTAGATAATAAACAAGATGCTATATCTGCTTGCATTAATTATATTTTTGTGGTTGAAAAGTGTGTATATGAAGATATTACAGAAATAATGGTGTGTTAAGTATGTTTGCTGAATTATTTTAAAGTCCAGGCTCCCTCCCTCCAAAATAATAAGTACAATTCCAATGTTTGATTAAAATGTTAAAGTTTAAACATCTACTCTTTATTTTGTTTGTTTTAAAGTAATAAATGGGATACACTGGATAGAGAGATGTAATTCTGTTTTCACCTTAGATTAAGTCATATTGGCATCAAGAATACCTATTTTTGAGAGAAAAGGCTGCTCACTAATTCTTAAAAATCATTGCATTGGTTACTGTTGGCTTCCAATTTAAAATACTGTATGTCCATTACTGTATATCAATTAACCTTCCAAGTCCAATCCAGAGTAATCCCAGAATATTTAAAAGTATCTTGTAAGAATAGAAAACATTGAAACAGAAAACTGACAGCAGACAAAGACCCAGTGGTCCATCGAGTCTGCCTTATAAGTTTATTTGTTTTTGTTTCTTTTAATTTCTTTTAATGTTTACTGGCTTTTATTTATTTATTTTTATGAAATGTTAGACCTGTTTATCATAAGTATGTTTAAATTTAGTTACTGATCATTGGCCTTTTATCTCCGCTGGAAGTTTGTTCCAAGCTTCCACTATTCTTTCTGGGATGTAATGCTTTCTAACATTACTTTTTAACTTCCTTCCTGTCAGTTTGAATCCATATGTCCTGTCACACAAAATGGAACAATGGAGTCTCCTCACTTTAACAATAATAATCAGTTATTTGACTTGTATGCAGAACAAGATACAATTTTTTGTGATAACCCCACTAAAAGTTTCTCTTTGCCGAAAGAATTTGTGGTTCCAACCTCCTTATCGTTGCCAAACAAATTAAATTGGCACATCATACTTTAGCTCAGGTTGACTATTGGCACTGTCATACGAAATGGATACAGAGCTATGTTAGTTTGTGTGCATTTAGTTTGCCCATCACTATTTTGTTATGAACTACCAGAGTCTATGAAACACTTACCCTTGATATTTTTTCCAGCCATTGAACAAAGTCCTCGTATTTTAAACAATTCATAGAACAACAATGATCAGAAGACATGGAGTAGGGAAAAAGGAAAAAAATAAGAGTATAAGTTGTTATAATACTGACTTAGAAAATGAAAAAAGGTTTAGTTCATAATTCGTCATAGATAGTTGTTGCTCCTTAATAAGAGATTTGCGAACTTAAAAGGCATAATATTAAGTAGAACCATACAAAACATTTCTGCCACAATAACGCCAGTGTCAAAATTGCATTGAAGGTTGAGCATGTAACAAAATACATGAATTTTGAAAGTTTTGTTCCAAGCATGAACAACACATTTTCTATTTTATAAAAATCCATACAAACCAATCAAATGTGAACTGTTAATATTTGATACTCTGTTGATAAAACTTTTTTCCTTATTAACAGAAGAAGAATTTACTTGGTATACACCTGAGGCAACATAGCTGCATTTTATAATGTCTGCTACAGATGAAGATGTCTGCAATCATATAAAAGTAGTAATTCGTGTTCGTCCTGAGAATCCAAAAGAGAGAGATGGCAACTTTCAAAAAGTGGTCCAGGTTGTTGATAAACATTTACTGGTGTTCGATCCCAAAGTGGAAGAAGTCAGTTTCTTTCATGGAAAAAAATTACCGAACCGCGATATCACTAAAAGGCAAAATAAGGATCTAAAATTTGTATTTGATGCCATATTTGATGAACATTCTACACAGCTGGAAATCTTTGAAGACACCACCAAAACATTTCTAGATGGTTTTTTAAATGGCTATAATTGCACAGGTAACTTTCTTCATTTGTTATCAGTATGCATAATAATCCCACATGAATAAACCTAGTACATTTAAAGGTAGTCCTTTTTGTTTCCTACACTGATATTTGCAGAAATCTCTTCACAAAATTTATATCCTCCACATTTTCATTGTTGCTGCTTTTCAAGATTTTGGGGAATGGGGCAAACTTTGGAAGTATTTTATTGTATATTTGTTTTAATACTACTTCATAAAAATGAAGTTGGGGACTTGCGGTATCTCATTTCTAAATGCCTAAATACTGGCAAAAGTAATTAAGAGCCATAAACTTTTCTTGTGGTTCTTTCTTGACTGTTCTGAAAAGAGAAGCCATTATAAAGTTCTGATCAAAATACCTGTTTCATTAAAGAGATGTGCTAGTCTACTTTTTGCATAAAATTATGGTTGGCTGCCATATTTCTTCAACCTTATTTTTGTAATTGAGCAAAAATCCATGGGTTGATTATATTTTGCTTCAAACGTCAGGATTATGAGTCACAGTCAATTCAAAGTTTCCCTGTCCTTTTTCACAATTTAGTACTTGCTTATGGCGCGACTGGAGCTGGGAAAACTCATACAATGCTGGGTTCCCCTGAAGACCCTGGAGTAATGTACCTGACTATGATCCAGCTTTACAATTCTATTGATCGAATGAAAGAAGAGAAGCATTGCAGTATTGCAGTTTCATATCTTGAGGTAAGAAGTTAAGACATTCTACACAATATTTTTTTTCAATAAAATCTTCCAGAAAGAGCATCTCTCTTTAGTCATTTAATCTTCATGCTGGATTCATTTAAGCTGTTCTGACCTAGGGTTTTCAAGGGCATGAAGCAAACTCCTGGTCCCAACAAAAAAAGCCTCTTTTATTGATTCACTGTGAATTTGCTCATTCACATACAGCAAAGTCTTTCAAGGGAGAATTTACAGACACAGACCTGATCTGGTATAGAGAGCTGCCAGGCCAATATCTGCAAAATTTCGCAAGGAATCTTGGAGAGTCACAAGCCAATTAATCAAACTAATTGTCTCCTGGAAACTCCATTTCCCTTTTATTTCCTCTGGGAGAATCCATTCATTCATTGTTTACCTGTAGCCTTACTCCCAAGTCGACCCCTGTTCTTTAGCTGTTCTCTTCGTCTGGCAACTCTGTGCATGCACACACTGGGAACATGTTCCAGCTGTTCATCTGCCTCACTGATGTCTGACTCTGAAGATAGCTGATAACTGACATCAGGCTCTGACTCCCTCTCTGCCTCCAACACAGTACTCATCAGAGCCTTCCCCAGAGTCCAGGACTGGCCCATGTTCCTCCCCACCCTCCTCACTGTCCGAATCTGCTGGCCTCTGACGGGCCACAACATAAACCTTATTACTTTTGACTGGTTGCCTCACTTATCTATGAGCTGATCTTGACTTATTTTAGATTAGTTTTCTACAATTCGCTTCCAGTCCAGTTCAAGGAATTAGCCCATGTCCAGGAACCTCGTGACTATTCTACATACAGCATTGCTATTTTTAATTCCTTCTTTGTGATTTCCTCTGTCCATAGTGTTGTTTTCACAGTTTTCAATGGTGTCTCTAAGGATAGCCTTCTACTCTCTTGGGAATTATGTGACATATCTAATATTAGCTAAAAGTCAAATGCTAACTACAAGTAGTATGATGAAAAGTAGATGGAATTAATAGCATGGGATTTTGAGTAGCATGCAGAATATGCATATGCAGGACTGCATGTGAGATTTATTGAATTGACTCATTTGTCATCCATGACAGACGTAGCTCGGTATCTTAATTGTTAAACTGATCAAGCGTATAAATTCTTACAATAGGTTGCAATTTTTAAAGATTTCCTTTTATTACATCGTACTACATTAAATTGTTATTTCACTGGGCAGAGGATTCTTCCGTACTACAAATGATTCTTCTGTACTACAAGTGTATTTAAATGTATTATTTAGATACAGTTTCTCACATTTTCCAATACTGCTTGCAGACAAGGATGGAAGGATTAACTCAAATAATGGAACCCATGAGCCAGTTCAGTATTACACAATGACCTGCATATTCTCAAAGAGCTTAAGAATAACTTGATTTGTGAGCATTCAATTCTCGACAACTGAAAACAGCCTAAAGCAATGGCTTCCAATCAGTGGTGGGTTCTGGCTCCTGTTCCAACCAGTATGGTTGGAACGGGCCCGGCGTTGCCGACATGGACATGCATGGCATGTGCATGCATCGTACCTGCCTGCGACGCTCCAGCTGCTTGGCAGAGCATCGCACAGGCGCTGTAGGTGCCGTGCGCGGAAGCACCAAAGACTTAAAGGACAGGTAAGGAGCTCGGGCAGGCGGGTGGGCCATCCGGAGCACCGTAGTGGAACGGTAGCCGGTGCTCTGGGCAGGCTCCGGTACACCCGTTCCGGGCAGTACCGCCTCAACCCACCTCTGCTTCCAATTATGGTTTGTGAGGTTACTCTAGTTAGTTCCTGACATGAAAGCTGAAATAAAAAGTTCCTTCCTGCCTCATGAGGTCACTAACTTTGCAAGTGTGCTCTTCAATGTTTATGCATTTCCCAAATTCTAAAATGCAAATGTAATCGTAGAGCTATCCAAACCAAATTAAAGACATTTTTCCCTAGGTCTACAATGAGCAGATACGTGACCTATTAGTAAATTCAGGACCGTTGGCTGTTCGAGAAGATCCTCAAAAAGGAGTTTTGGTTCATGGGATAACCTTGCATCAGGTATAGACATTTCTATGTATGTGCCATTATTATCTTTGTTATTTATTTATTTATTTATT